TCCAGATGTTAGGAATGTTGTCAATTCCCTGCTCCTGCTAGAGATGGAACCCAGAAAACTGCATGGGGGAAGATCTGAAGAACTGAAACCAGAGAATAGGATGGCAAACTGAAGGCAAAAGCCAGGCGAATAAAGAGGGTGAGACTTGGGATAAACACAGAGAGGGGCTGAAACAAATGTTATAGGCATCTTGCTCTCCAGTGTCTGCCAAGCTCATTGGAAAGAATGGAAATATCGGATTGACAAAATCTGTCATTCCTATACTAGAACAGTATGAGATAAGTAGAATTTATCATCAAAATATAAAAAGAAAGGTAGCATAAAACCAAAACTTCCATTAAAATGAATGAAAAAGACTGTGCAAACTACACATATTCTGATATCCTAGAGATTTCTCACCTTGGAGAGACTTGCTGAGAACTTGGGGGTAGGTATTGGTAGAGATGTACTGAGAACTTGGGGGTAGGTATTGGTAGAGATGTACTATCTTGATAAAGCACCCCTGGAGATCTTATATGTCCCTTAGTAGATGACCACTTGCACAGGTCAAGGGCGATTTGATTCTACAGTTAGTAGGGGTGGTATCTAAAATGAGAAGTGAGAGTCTCTTTCTCTTAGACTCTAAGCAACCACAGCTGGCATTTTCAGTTTGTTTGTTCACCATTCATACTTCTCTACATGCCTTTAAACTGCTAGGTGACAAGATTCTTAAAACCTATTAAGAGCAGCCGACTATTTTAGTGTGTGTCCAAGTAAAATTAATGCTAGAACAAAGGAAAAAAAAGATTATGGAAGATTTTTAGTAAATGCACCAAAGTGATAATCACAAAAGGATTTCTGGAGGAAATGAAATTCCAGTTTTCCTAAGGTCACTGAAAGAACCTTACTCAAAAACCTGTATACATTAGACTTAGGTTGGAAGGTGGGAGATACAAAATTTTAAACTGGTCTCTGCTTATCTAGTATAGGGGTCAAGCTTGAAAAAGAGGAAGAGAAGAAAAAAACCTCACTATAGTAAAATGGGATGCAAATAGAGAAGAAGTGATTGACATAGCCATGGAGGATTGGAGAGGCTCCCCAGGGAGGTGATGTGTGAATAGTCTTCAAGAGAGCTAAGTTTCTAGCAGACAGAGCAGGGCAAGACGCACAGTGCAGGTTGTAGGAAACAACATGTGCAAAGTAGAAGAGCCGGGAAGGACTTACTGTTTCTTGGAAACAGCGGGATGTTCCTGATACAGGGGAGTTGACAGCAGGAAATGAGGACAGACAGGTAAGACCCTGAATGCTGGGCTAGGGCACTTGTCCTGGGGGTGGCCATCTAATTAACTAGCCAAGCAAGTTGGTTCCCAGTCTCTCATGGCCTGGTTGCAAATATTCTGTGCATGTACACTTACCAGCTGTATCTCCCCTGACAAATTAAGTAAAACTCTATGCTACAGTTGCATCACTATAAACACAGTCATAATAATAGCACAACTCTTAGGATAACTATGAGGATATATGAGATTGAAGTATGCAATAAAAATTAGATGTTATTAGAATTATCTAGTATGTAAACAAAGGGAATAGAAAATGGTAAGCTCTAGCATGATTGGAGGTTGAACATAGAAAAGTGGGTAGAAGGTGAAAGATAGGGCTGGGTGAGGGAAAGACGAGGCTGTATAAGGCAGGTGAAGAAAGACAAATACCAAATGATCTCTCTCATTTGTGAAGTATAAAAACAAAGCAAAATGGAACAAAATAGCAGCAGACTCACAGACACTGAGAAGGGACTAATAGTTACCAAAGGGGAGAGGTTGGGGACAGTGATGAGAGGGAGAAGGGGACTAAGGGGCACTATAATTCACAATCACAATATAGGTTGGTCACAGGGACAGTAGTACACTATGGAGAATACAACTGATGACTCTATAAGATCTTACATTGTTGATAGACAGTGACTGCAATGGAGGGGGTGAGAGGACTTGATAATATGGCTGAATGTTGAACCACTGGGTTGTGTATCTGAAACCATCATAAAATTGTATATCGATACTTTAATTTAAAAAATTCAAATGAGAGATAAGGTAGAATGCAGGAGACATTTTTTTGGTTGTGATCCTGGAATCTAGTAAATGTGGACAAGAAGAGAGGATGAAGCATCAAAATAACTCAAGCTAGAGCCTGAAGAATGAGATGAAGTCTGAAAGGAAGTAAAATGGAGGAGGGGAAACTGAGGCAGAGGGCACCTCATGGGCAAAGGCGTGGTAGCACGAAGGATTGTGACATGTTTGGGGAAGAGGGGGCACTGCTGGCTGGTCTGAGTGTAGGGCAGGTACAGGGATGAGGTGGAGATCAAGCCAGGAGCTGTATCTAGGGATCGGATTGCGGTGAGGCCTGAACGTCCAGCTATGGCATCTGGATGTCCCCTGATGAGAGGTGTGCAGCCACTTGCTTGTTTTGACATGAGCAGTGACTTCATATATCCTGTATTTAAGAATGTAACACCTGGTCACAATGTGGTAAAAAAAATAAAAATGCAGGAGACTTGAGCCTAATAGCCATTCTGGAGGCACCGTATTTCCCCTGTGGGAGAGGTCTAGTACAATAGCAGGGGGAATAAAAAATTTTTAAGTAAAGATGAGGGCCAACAGATAGTGGGATTTTGGAAATGACTTCTTGTGTAATAGATGAGGAAGGAGTAAAAATTGCAGTCTGATGGTGGCTCTCTGATATCTGTAACTAACCCAAATGAGAAATACAGAAGGAAACTCTGACATGTGGGCGAAGTAAAGCCCGGTCTGTTCTGAAAAACTTGTGTTCAATTATTGGAGGTCATTCTGGCATTGGAGATGTGCCAAGTAGAGGCAGGAATTGGAGAGTCACACAGGGCAAGTGGTAGTTGAAGCAATGACAATGGAAATATGTTGTCTTTAGAAGAAAATAGACTGGGAAAACTTCAGAGGAAAGAGTGTGGCTTGTTCTCAGAGACAAACCATCGGGGTCCAGGTTGAAGATTGCTTGGGTAGGAGAGATTCCCACCTTAGGGTCTTTGTATTAGCTGTGAACTGTGCCTGTAATGCTCTCTCCCCTGACCTTTACCTGTTGGTTTTCTGCCATCCTGTTCTCCATTTAAATATGTCACCTCCTCAGGTTGATCCCTGACTCCACAACAAGAGTAGTCAGTCATTCAGACTCATGTAATAACAGGGATCCTCTATCTCTGGTTCCATGTTCTGTTTCCCATGTAGAAAGAGCCTGACACATCATACACATTTAGACAATATGTATTGAATAAATTCATGACTTCTATAGTCACTTTACTCTCTACCTCACGTTCACCTTTTGTAAAATCAGAAGGAAAATTCCTACCACACAGACTTGTGAGGATTACATGACACAGCTCCATCTAAGCCCAGCATACAGCCTGCCTCATTATAGGCATTACGTTACCTGGTTACCTAGCCTGAATCTTCTTATATTCCTTGCCCATAACTACAAAGCAAAGAGAAAACAGTAGCTCTTCAAATAACAGTATGCTTGTTTTCTTTTTTTCTTCTTTTGTTTTTAATCTCTGTGCATCCTACAGAGTAATTTCCCCTGTGGGAGAGGTCTAGGACAATAGCAGGGGGAATAAAAAATTTTAAAGTAAAGATGAGGGACAACAGACGGTGGGATTTTGGAAATGACTTCTTGTGTAATAGATGAGGAAGGAGTAAAAACTGCCTGGTTACCTAGCCTGAATCTTCTTATATTCCTTGCCCATAACTACAAAGCAAAGAGAAAACAGTAGCTCTTCAAACAACAGTATACTTGTTTTCTTTTTTTCTTCTTTTGTTTTTAATCTCTGTGAATCCTACAGAGTAATTTCCAGCCAATGTTTCTCTCTTTCTTGCACACTCCTTCATTTCCCACTGTTGGTGGATTCATTACTATTTTTCTTTCTCTTCACCTTTAACAGTGACTATGTGTACCTTTTGAATGTCTCCATTTCACTTTTCTGCCTCACCCCCTACAGGACTCGATGTTTAATGAACAGTCAAAATAGAAAAATGATTTGCTAACTTGATCTAGGAATCTGGGTTGATTCCGTTCAGGTGTGCACTTCCAAACAAACCACATAACCAGTATACCTTCTGGGAAATGTCTTGGAGATCTTGCAAAAATCCCCAAAAGTTGATTAGAACTTTACGACTAGAATACGCATTTCTAGGATGTGCTAGTACCTTGAAAATCATTTTGACTCCAAGCTAGTCCATTATATTTAGGCATCTGGAAAAGAACTTCAATGTTATTGATATGTACGACAAACTAAGGACACTGTGTATCTCACTCCAAACACTACCATGACGGGAACGCACAGGAGTCACAACATGTTAAATTCATTCCTATTGTCTAGTCATTGTCACAATGATCACCTTTGAGCCACTTCACGGTGGTGCCCTGGTGGAAAGAGAATTATACTGAAAGAAAGTCTAAGTTCTTTTGGAAAATTTCACTGATCTCCTTAAATTTCTAGAAATGCGAATCATTTTAAGTGATTAAATGTTTAATTATATTATTCATTCAATCGACAGCTTATTAAGCACTCCTGTCTACTAGGATACCATCAGGTCTCAAAAACATTTGAAGAATGTGGCTTCACACAATCCAGTGGGTAAGACCAAAGCAATTTTATTCACTTTTCTTCTCATATGAGGATCCTGATTGGAAAAGGGAGAGAGAAAAGTGTCTTTGTGAGCAGAATCCGGGAAGATAGTGGACCCACTCAGTGTCATTCATACAGATTCTCATACTAGAATCTTTCTCATCCCTCTGACTCCTGAACTTGACTTCATTCGAGTGCATTTAGCATCCCTTTCTCAAGCTCTCCCACGAAGAGTTGCCTTAAACTTGCCCAAGTTCCCTTGATTAAAGTGTAGGTGACATCAGAGCATAAGGCTCCTTTCACACCCATCTCTGAGTCTCAGCCTCAGGAAGCTCTGCGGCTTTGGAACAAAGTTGCTGCGTGCACCCGCGGGATGGGCAACCACTCCTCCGTGAGCACGTTCCTTCTGTGGGGATTTTCCAGTTTCCCAGAACTGCAGGGTCTGCTCTTTGTGTTGGTTTTCGTCTCCCTCCTGACCATCCTAGCTGCAAACGTGTCCATAATGGTGGCCATCAAGCTCAGGCACAACCTGCACACCCCCATGTACTTCCTCCTCTGTGGCCTGTCCTTTTCTGAGACCTCTGTCACTCTGGTCATCGTGCCCCGCATGTTAGCGGACTTGCTGTCGGACAGCAAGACCATGTCTCTTCCTGAGTGTGCCACACAGATGTTTCTCTTCTTGGGCTTGGCAGGCAACAACTGCTTCATCATGGCTGCCATGTCCTATGATCGTTACAGCGCCATTTGCAGCCCACTGCGCTACGCCGTCCTGATGAGCCGGCAGACCTGCGTTCAGCTGCTGACGGCCTCCTGCGTGGCTGGGCTCCTGGTTTCCCTGTGCATTGTCACCACTGTATTCAACTTGTCTTTCTGCGACTCTAACACCATCCAGCACTTCTTCTGTGACATCTCGCCTGTGGTCTGCCTCGCTTGTGATTACACTCCCTATCATGCAATGGCTATTTTTGCGCTCTCAGCCCTTGTGCTGGTGGGTAGCTTTATTTTAATTATGACTTCCTATGTCTTCATTGGCTCCGTAGTTACGAAGATGCCTTCTGCACAGGGCAGGCATAAGGCCTTCTCCACTTGCTCCTCCCACCTCACTGTGGTGTGCATCCACTACGGGTTTGCCAGCTTTGTCTATTTGAGACCCAAAGACAGTGACTCATTCCGGGGCGATATGCTGATGGCTGTGACATATACAGTGCTGACACCTCTGCTTAATCCCATTGTTTACAGTCTAAGAAACAAAGAAATGCAGATAGCCCTGAGAAAGGTCCTAGACAGTGTACGCAGGCTTTCCCCACAGACAGTAAACAAAAGATCCCTGAACACTTCTTAAAAGCTTTACAGATTGCTGATTAATAAAAATGAAGAAGTGGAGTACTTCCAGTAACAATCATCACTTTGTGTACAAAACAATTGAAGTATTTTCTAATTGCCTGATATGCCCTGGTCTCACTCCTTTCCTACCACAAAACCAGATGTAGTTTTAAAATATTTTAAAATGAAATAGAATATTATAATGTTATTACACACATATATGTACATATAGGTGTATACACACACATATATATATGCACATACTCACCTGCACATATGTATGCAGTAAATGTTTAAAATAAGATGTAGAACACTGTATGTTCATAATGTTGGTTGACTTTGGAGAAGGAAGAAAATTATCCTAAAAAGGAAAAGAAGAAGAATGAAAGAGGGAGACAGAGAGGAGAGAAAATCTTGCTATTTGGGACAATATAGCTGTACCTGGAGACATTATGTTAGGTGAAATAAGCCAGACAAGAAAGAACAAAACTGCAAGACATGTAGAATCTAGGAAAGTCAAATTCATAGAAGCAAAGAGTGGAATGGTAGTTACCAGCAGTGGAAGATGAGGGAAATGGGGAGGTTTTGGTCAAAGAGTACAAAGCTGCAGTTATGTAGAATAAATACGTTCTAGAGACTGAATGCACAGCATGATAACTATAGTTAATGATACTGTATTTTTTACTGGAAATTTGCTAAGAGAAATCTCAGGTGCTCCCACCATTCCAAACAAGGGAACTATGTGAGGAGATGGAATGTTAGCTTGACTTCAGAAGTCATTTCACTCTGTATATGTATGTCAAAACATCACATTGCACACCTTAAATACATACACTTTTTATTACAAAATAAAAAGATATATACATTTTTTAAGATTAAAATGTGGCAATTGCACTTTATTAAGATCACTTGAATGGAAACCATTTATTTGTAAGAAACATTTCTTTGTGAACTTCTTGAAAGAAAAACACGTGACATTTCCTCAGTTTATAACCTAATGCTAGGAGTAAAGGAGACACTAAATAAGCATTCATTGAATTAGAGTTAATGCTTAACCAACAGATATGTGTTGAATGCTTGCTCTGTACCAGACGCTGTACTTTGAGCAAAGGATAATTAGTTCAAACTCTCACATTACTACTTTCATCTGCCCACCAAAGTTTCTGCAACTGCATTTCCGACTCTCAATGACCACTTTACTCCAATTTTCTTTCATGACTCAGTTTAAATGTCATTTCCCAAGGAAAGCCTTCCTTGAGCCTCACAAGTAAATGCATTTGTGAAATGGTATCATAAGGGATGGAAACGGAGCAAAAAGCCACCCCTGGGGATTTTGACAGGGTAGGACATAGGAGTTTGAGGCCAACAATGCCATGGCAGCTGAGATTTGTGAGGCTAAGTTCCTGGAGAGGAAAAACTGTAGAGAAGTGAGCCTGAAATTCTATGTGTAATTTCTCATTAAGGAATTTGACTTCTCCAAAGTTGCACATGGGTTGGTGAAATACCGAACACCAAACATTTTTACAAGTGTCCCCTTCAAATCTGCCTAGAGAGGCTAAAGATCTGCAGAGATTTTGTGCTGGTTTGATAGAGTTTGATGGATAGGCCATTTAATTTAAGGTAGAGGGGCCCCATGACACCTCTACTTTATGCCTTTTTTTAAGAGTCCTGAAGGACAGTAACTTGAGGAGTAATTGCTACATCCTAGAAATCAGATCAAATCAGAAATAGATCATCCTCAACAAAGCACAACAACACTCCTGGAAAAACCATCACCACTCTACTAGGATACAGTTTTAGGAGTTATGTTATATAGAGATACATGAGTTGTTTTTTTATGTGAATGACCCCTTTGGGCACTATATTTCCTCAAAGTGACTGCTGTATTTGGGCCTCAAAGGGCTAAATCTAGTGTTCTATCTTATTGCTGGAAGAAATCTGAATATAGTTTAGAGGAAGATACTCTCATCTAGTGCCTCTACAATTTTTTTATCCATATTTCCCATTGTCCAAAAAAATAATAATGTATACCAGTAAACAAGACCAAATGATAAAAGCCTCATATTTCAAAATAAATATTAAAAATGTATCTAGGAAAAACAGAGTTATAAAATGAAGAATCACATCAGAGAACTGAATACAAATAAAATGAAGAATAAAAAGAATCAAGTTTAAATCTTAGAAATAAAAAATAAAATAAATTACATAAATATAAAATAATAAATTATATAAATTACATAAATAAAATAAAAAATAAAATAACATGGGTTAATAACAGATTGGACACTGCAGAAAAGAGAATTAGTTAACTGAAAGATAGGTCAGAGAACATCTACTACAGGATGGAGAAAAATTATAAAAAATACAGAGTGTGAGAGCTATGCAGGAAATTATGAAGATATGACACATGTGTAAATGAAGTCCAAGAAAAAAGGACAGGTAGAAGAAATTTCTGAAGAATAGTCAATAATAGTTTTCCAAATGAATGAAAGCCCATGATGACAAATACAAAAAACTGCAAATCCCAAACATGACAAGTGTGAGAGCACCCACTCTTACAAAACTCATAAAAAAGCTACAGGAAGGCAAAAACAAAAGAAAATGTTACAAGCTTCCAGGGGCAAATAAAAGATATATTCCCTTCACAAAAGAGAAAACAAGGGAAGACTAATAGCTAAGTTTTTGAAAAAATGATGGAAACAAGAAATAATTAAGTCTTAAAATGCCAAATGCTTGGTGACCTAGAATTTTACCCAAATTAGAAATCGCTCTCAAAAATGAAGTTGCAATAAAGACTTTTTATGACCAGAAAAAAACCTGTTAAAAATTCATCATCAGTAAACCTGTGTTAAAAGAAGAAACAATACAGTTTTTTTAAGCAGAAGGAAAATCATTGCTGGTAGAGACATAGTGTTAAAAAAAGGAAGGAAAGTACCCAAAAGAATAAATACAGAAGAGAGTGGAGGAGGTCGGTGGGGGGAACAGCTTTGAGAAATAATGAAGGACTGGAATTGCCTGCATAGGTAGGTAGATGATAATACCATCACCACTGTCTATAGCCTCAGATTAAAATGGGAAAGAAACAGTCCTATCTTGTAGAAACTTCTAAAACAACAACTTTATCAAAATGTAACTTACATACCCAAAATTTAAATATAGAGGATGATGACTTTTGACTAATGTATACACTTGGACAACCACCACCCCAATCACAACACGCAGTGATGCCCCACCCCCAAGAAATTACTTTTTACCCCTTGGCTTTCAATCTTCTCCAATACTCTGCTACAGTTAGAGTTTTACAGAATGACAGAAATGTCAACAACTTCTTAAGTCCCAACCCACTTCAGAAGAAGACAATTTTCCAAAAATGTGCAAAGACTAAGAATCTTTTAATAACAGTTTAAGATCTTTGAAATTTCTCCCAGTTCAAATCCCTGCCTTCTAAGTAGCAATCTACAACCCATAGTAAACAGGAATCTTACAAACAAACATCTTACCAAAGGAGTTCTTGATACCCACAGGGATATCCTTGAGCCTTAATTTTTGATGCATTCTTTGGGGAAAAGGCTTTTTACTAATCCTAATATTCTTTGTCCCCCTTTTGGAGAGACATCTGCTAGTGTAACACACCTGATATCTTCCTAAGCTTTCATTCCCTCCTCCCCTAATTAGTAAATTAGTTGGTAGGAAGTTTGGAGGGAAAAGTAGATATGCAGTTATATTAGACTGCAGAGCATCCTTAACAAAATACTGCAAACTGGGTGGTTTAAAAAACAGAAATGTATTGTCTTGCAGTTCTGGACGTTAGGAGTCCAAGGTCAGGTGTTGGCAGGGATGGTTCCTTCTGAGGGTTGCAGATTCTGGTCCATGCCTCTCACCTAGCTTCTGACGGTTTGTTGGCGATCCTTGAAGTTCCTTGGCTTGTAGAGGCATCGTGCATATCTCTGTTTTTATTTTCACATGATGTTTTTTCCCTGTATGCTGTTTCCAAATTCTCCTTTTTTTAAATAAGGATGCCAGTCATACTAGATTAGAAGCTCAGCCTACCCTAAAATGACCTCATCTAAACTAATTGATCTGCAACAAACCTATTCCCAGATCAGGTCACATTCTGAGGGACTGGAGGCTAGGACTTCAACATATGAATTTTTGAAGGATGCAATTCAACCCCACAACAGCAATCCCAGCCCTTCTTTCCCCTTGGTCTCGGGGAGTGTGCCTCTCCTCAGTGCACTTGGCTGTTCTTTGCTGTGCTGTAAGCTGATGGGTGAAGGCCTAGTCTCCTTGGAGAGACCTGAGTGTTTCCAGTACTACCAGTGAGGGAAAGAGTGTCAAATTCTGGTATTCAGAACATGAAAACACCTGTGCACAAATGTGTGCCACATTCAGTGACATCAGCTCTTTCATTTGTACAAGTAATATTTTGCTCTCTCGTATACCTTCTCTTTTTGTCCTTCCCTCAGTTGACTTAGAACTTGGGGGGGGGGTCAACATGTGTCTGTTGCACATACCTCACTGAGCACTGTAACAGGGCCACACCTTAACCCCTGCCCCTGGGTGACTGAACAATTCAGAGTGGAAATACAAAAGAAAAGCCTCTGTGTGGACTCATCATAATCAAGTGGGGAGCCTTTAAGCCCCTAGACAAGAGACTTAGATAAGGAAAGGTCCAGCATGTGACAGGTCTTCCAACGCGAGAGAAGGAAAGGGATGGACGGAGGCAGGCCATTTTGGTGGGTGTGCAGTGAGGGTTGCCCCAAATTTATTAGAGTGCTAGGCTCACAGGGAGCTGCCATGTACTGAGAAAGGAATGAGGAGAAGGGATAGTTTTGGGAGAAGGATGATAAATTCCATCAGGGCACGCTGAGTCTGAGGGTCCTGGGGAAAAAGCCAATGAAGACATTCATCTGTTCAAGGAATGTTCTGTTTGGAGATGGGGATACGGTGACCACACAGATGGCAGCTGAGCCCGTGGTGGAGGCCACTCAAGGGGAACACGGGGTGGGAGAAGGGTAGAGGGCTGAGCAGGAGTCCTGGCAAAGAGCAAAGTATAGGGGGACGAGGAAGAGGAAGACTGCAGTCAATGAAAAACTTCAACCACCAGCATGCAGAGCTCTCACCACAGCTTTCCGGCGGCCTTGCTGAGTCTGCAGTCAGACCCACGGGGGGCCCTCTCCTTGCCGAGGGCCGTGTCTGTGTGGACTTGAGCCTCAGAACTACTGCACTGGTAGGATTAGAAAACCCATAACTATTGCAAGTAAAAAGGGTTGTATTGGACAACAGGACCAGAGAGATCCCAGAGTGGCTTCCAGGCAGGAAAACAAGGAGGTTTTTTTCCAAAGAAATGTTGGCTTCTAAAATCCTACTCTAGATTTGTCCTGTAAGCCTTATGCTGGGAAGAGTCAGCTGAGATTTATACAGTTCCTTCTGTGTTACGTGGGTTAGATTTCTCAATGGCCAAACAGAGGAATCATGATCTTTGTTCTGGATTAAATAAAGTGAAAATAAATAGAAGCTTTTCTGAGACACTAATGCCGATGTTCCAAAAAGTTTAAATATCTATTGCCCAAAACAATCTTTATCTTTATCTGAATTGCCTGGCTTGTCAATATTACCATCTATTTCACATCTCTTGGAGACAAGTTTCTTTCCTCAGTATTGCTTTATAAGGTGGAATTCACTTAAATTTGATCTTTGGTTGAAATATCTTTCTATTTAAATAGGACTCATAATGTGTGAATGGGGTTTTAAGCAGAAGCTATTTTCCAAAAGTATTCTTACCTTGGAAAATCCATACTTAATTTGAATCCAGCAGATGTCCGTGTTAATGATATAATTAACTTTATATATGGAAGTAAACATTCGCTTTTCATATTTGTAGGAGCTCTTCTCTATAAGAGTGATAAAGTTAAGGATAAGTATCATTTAAGGATCCAGCATGAATGTTTCCCACACCCAAATGTTTGTTATTTATATCTGGTCGACTTCAGGCAAACCAGTGTGTTCTAGCCATCAGTTTCCTCATGGCCTCTTTCACTTCCTTGTTCCTCAGACTGTAGATGAGGGGGTTCAGCATGGGCACCACCACCGTGTAGATCACAGATGCCACTTTGACCTGATCTGCTGAATAGCTTGACTTGGGCATCACATAAACAAACAAAACTGTCCCATAAAACAAAGTGACTGCAGTGAGGTGGGAAGTGCAGGTAGAGAAGGCCTTCTTCCTCCCCTCAGTGGAGCGCATATTCAGGATTGCCTGCAGGATGTAGCTGTAGGACACAATTATGGTGGACAGGGTGCTTATTAGAACTGATGCGGAAGAGATGGCAGGAGATATTTCAGCAATGTAAACATGGCCACAAGAAAGCTTCAAGAGCGGGAAGAGGTCACAGAAAAAATGGTTGATTTTGTTTGGTCCACAGAAGGATAGATTCATCAAGCAGCCTGTGAATGATGAAGCGTTCATGCATCCACCCAGGTAGGAAGCCCCCAGCAGGAGGAAGCAGACCACCGGGGACATGTGGGTGGAGTAGAGAAGTGGGGAGCAGATGGCCACATAGCGGTCATAGGCCATGGCAGCCAGCAGGAAGCACTCTGTGGTCCCAAAAGTGACATCGGAGCCAAGCTGAGCTATACAGCCAATGACAGGAATAGTAGTTCTCTCTCTTAGGAAACTCATAAGCATGACTGGTGTGACTGATGTGGAGTACCCTATGTCCACAAAGGCCAAGTGGCTGAGGAAGAGGTACATGGGGGTGTGAAGCTGTGGGCTGCTTTGGATTAACATGATTATGCTGGTATTTCCCACTATGGTAACTATATAAACCCCTAGAAAAATCACAAATAAGATGGCACATAATATGGGATTATCTGTTAATCCCAGGATAATGAACTCTGCTACTGTGGTGTGGTTTGCAGTCTCCATCTATTCATTGAATGGTGCCTATTGAAATCAGAACCAGAAGAGATTAAATTGGCTGAAATGACTCCACATTTCATGTCTATACCAAAACATGACCTTAAAATTAAAATTTTTAAATGGCAACTTTCCCTCACTTACAGAATACTTTTGCACACAAATTTTCTTTACAAATTTCATGAAAATGCTACAATTGAAGCTTAGTTACCTTAGGACTCAGAGATTTTACTCTTATTTGTACACCGTGGAGTAAGTCTTCCCCATGTGTAAGATGAGATATGCTAAAGGATGTTTACAGCAATATTGATTGCAATAACATAAACTGTAAATAACCTAAGAGATATAGAAAGGCCAGCTCTTGATTTTCCATCCCCCTCCCAAATGTACCTCAGCCCCACTATTTACTATTTTAGTAAATACTATCTCCACTTATCCAATTATTAGGCTTGAAAATATGGATTTGACTTTGACGTCTCTTTCTTACTTGATCCTTTTTCTGGAATATAAAAATCATATCCTTAGTCATAACTGATACCAAGGGTTAGGAGGTATCTATGTTCAAGATGAAAAGATCAAATAGAATTTTACTATTGTTATGAGCTATATCCTAGGTATTCTGCAAAATCTTCTAGGACTGAACTCCTATACCACACCTTTTTCATCCTTATGGGATTTCACGAAGCAATGAGTCTCGGTGTTTTTATGGACTAGGATTAATTGGAAAGTGAACTGAAGTCTTCTGGGACCTGAAATACAAAAGTTTTGGCTTCATCAGTTCTATTAAGCAACTATAGGGAAATAAGAAGTGGGGGTGTATGATGAGGTGGGGGAAAGGAGTAGTTAGAGAGGAAGGGATAGGGGGAGCCAGCTAGGAAAGCTAAGAAATTAGATTGAAAGAAATATGAGCATTTCAGAAGAATATTCCCTTAGTTCAAATTAGAGCATATGAAGAGGGACAGAGAGCATCTTGTAATCACAGTTCAGGCATCCCTCAGCTCCTCTAATTTGAAGACCAACATATTCCTCTGAATAATTTGATTTTTTCTCAAGAATCTCTATCTGAAGAAGAATTAGGAAAGCTACGTATGCAGCTTTCAGCAATCATGCACGTTTTACTCAGTGCTACATGTGAATCATGACTATGGTATGCTCCTGCATGTGTAGTGCTAAGATTATGGGTCTGAATTCTCGAGTTCTGGCTTTTTTTAACCGAAGACCCAAACATGAAATGCATTTTATACTTTTAATAAACATAGATGTATGAAAGACACAAAAGTTCTCACAGTTAGGTATGAGTATCAGCATGGAAGGCAAAGCAATGTGCAGAAATACCATGGACTTTGGAGACATGCAAACCTGAATTTAGAGCTCTGCCTCTCACTGTCTCTGGAGTATGGCAAGTTACAAAGGATTTTTTGATCTTCTGTTTCCTTACCTGTAAAAAGGAAATAGTCATACATACCTCATGTGATTCTTGTGTTAAATGATATGATGTGGGTGAAAACACCAAGCTCTGTTCACACAACAAACAGATGTTCGGTACATATAAGAGAATCAAATCTTTCTGTATGCTTAAAAATGAGCAAGTTTAAGTAAGTGGCATATCCACTGCAATGCTAGGAATAAGCTCCAAGGAATTGTTACCATACAGCAAAGCCATATTTAAGTACACTTATGTCATTTGAGGTAAAGCTCCAATCACTTATTTCACTTGTAATTACAAATTAATTACTTGTTTTGATACTACACTGAGAATCATTTGGAACAGAGAAATTACATGTACACATCTACTGGAATAGAGAAATAACATGTAAACATGATTATGTAAAAGTGTAGGAATGATTTTCTAAACACCCTGAGGTCCCATTTATTTTTTAACTACATGAAAAGAAATTTTAAATTTCAATTTCATTAAATTGAAAAAAATCAGAACATTTTGCTATCATTAAAGTAGATTATTAGCTCAACATGACTAATATGGTTGTAGCAATTTGTGACATTTCTGAAATGTGGCTGTATTGAGTGATACAGGTTTTCTGTCTCCTATGTTTAGAGATAATTTAGGTTTTCTAGTACAGTTTAGTTTACAATCAAGCATCCAATGAAACTGCAATGTTATTTCCAACATGAAATAAGTGACAAACACTTAAAAACTCGTATGTGTTTTCTACACGTTGTATAGATTTGCCCTGGGATTCTTGAGTTAAACACCGTGCTTACTGGCAGTAGGCATTTCTCACACATACCCTCTTCCTTCTCCTTGTCAACTCTGATCCAGCACATGTATTTTTTTAAATTTTGATATCGTTAATGTCCAATTACTTGAACAACATTATGGTTACGAGACTCCCCCTATTATCAAGTCGCCCCCACATACCCCATTACAGTCACTGTCCATCAGTGTAGTAAGATGCTATTGAATCACTACTTGTCTTCTCTGTATATACTGCCTTTCCCGTGTCCCACCCCAACCCCCCTGCCTCATTATGTGTGCTAATTGTAATGCCCCTTTTTCCCCCTTCTCCCTCCCTTCTCACCCATCCTCCCCAGTTCCTTTCCCTTTGATAACTGTTAGCCCATTCTTGGGTTCTGTGATTCTGGTGCTGTTTTGTTCCTTCAGTTTTTGCTTTGTCTTTATACTCCACAGATGAATGAAATCATTTGATACTTGTCTTTCTCCACCTGGCTTATTTCACTGAGCATAATACCATCTAGCTCCTCCATCCATGTGGTTGCAAATGGTAGGATTTGTTTTCTTCTTATGGCTGAGTAATATTCCATTGTGTATATGTACCACATCTTCTTTATCTATTCATCTACTGATGGACAATTAAGTTGTTTCCATTTCTTGGCTATTGTAGATAGTGCTGTGACAAACATAGGGGTGCATATGTCTTTTTCAAACTGGGCTGCTGCATTCTTAGGGTAAATTCTTAGAAGTGGAATTCCTGGGTCAAATCGTATTTCTATTTTGAGTTTTTTGAGGAACCTCCATACTGGTTGAACTAATTTACATTCCCACCAGTAGTGTAGGAGGGTTCCCCTTTCTCCACATCCTCGCCAACATTTGTTGTTGTTTGTCTTTTGGATATTGGCCATTCTAATTGGTGTGAGGTGGTACCTCATTGTGGTTTTAATTTGCATTTCTCTGATGATTAGCAATGTGGAGCATCTTTTCATGTGCCTGTTGGCCATCTGAATTTCTTCTTTGGAGAAGTGTCTGTTCAGCTCCTCTGACTATTTTTTAATTGGCTTATTTGCTTTTTGTTTGTTGAGGTGCATGAGCTTTTTATATAATTTGGATGTCAACCCCTTATTGGATATGCCATTTATGAATATATTCTACCATACTGTAGGATGTCTTTTTGTTCTATTGATGGTGTCCTTTGCTGTACAGAAGCTTTTTAGTTTGATATAGTCCCACTTGTTCATTTTTGCTTTTGTTTCCCTTGCCTGGGGAGATATGTTCATGAAGAAGTTGCTCATGCTTATGTCCAGGAGATTTTTGCCTATGTTTTTTTCTAAGAGTTTTATGGTTTCATGATTTACATGTAGGTCTTTGATCCATTTTGAGTTATGGGGTTAGACAATAATCCAGTTTCATTCTTTTACATGTACCTGCCCAGTTTTGCCAACACCAGCTGTTGAAGAGGCTGTCATTTCCCCATTGTATATCCATGACTCCTTTATCATATATTAATTGACATATATGCTTGGGTTTATATCTGGGCTCTCTATTCTGTTCCACTAGGGTCTATGGGTCTGTTCTAGTGCCAGTACCAAATTATCTTGATTACTGTGGCTTTGTAGTAAAGCTTGAAGTCAGGGTGCGTAATTCCCCCTGCTTTATTCTTCCTTCTCAGGATTGATTTGGCTATTAGGAACTTTTGTAGTTCCACATGAATTTTAGAACTATTTCCTCTAGTTCACTGAAGAATGCTATAGGTATTTTGAGAGGGATTTCATTGAATCTATAGATTGCTTTAGGCAGGTTGGCCATTTTGACAATATTAATTCTTCCTAGCCAAGAGCATGGGATGAATTTCCATTTATTGGTGTCCTCTTTAATTTCTCTTAAGAGTGTCTTGTAGTTTTCAAGATAGGTCTTTCACTTCCTTGGTTAGGTTTAGTCCTAGGTATTTTCTTCTTTTTGATGCAATTGTGAATGGCATTGTTATCCTGATTTCTCTTTCTGCTAGCTCATCATTAGCATATAGGAATGCAACAGATTCACATGTATTTTTTTAATAAAACAATGAAGTTCACAGTAACATTTTTCTTATGAACTTGCCACCCACCACTTCACACTGACTTTAGTTGTGTTCTTGAAGCATGGCCATATGGCTGAACATTCTCTAGTTTGTAGGCCAAGTTCCTTTGATTCTGGGCTTAAAGGAACCCATTGATCAATAACCTTTAGAAGAAAACTAAGGCTGATAATCCACATTAGGAGGACCCAGCTTCTCAGACACCTTAAGTTCAGTGACTTAGGGAATGGCCATGCTGTGGGGTTCCGTCTATCCTGCACAGACATGTTCCTGTAGATTTTTAAGGAAGCCTAATTGTGGCTGATAAATGGTACAAACAGGTAGCCACTGATTCCACAAAAACATTCCAGATGATATCTAGGAAAAGTAAATTCCTTTTACCCTTGCTCTCTTCCTAACATTTTGTTTACATCACTTGATTTGTATCCATTATAGTTGAAGATCTTGTTCACTCCCTGGTGGAAAGGTGCTGTATCTATGACTATTTCTATATCCCTCCTTAATTGTGCAATGCTGGTAATATAGGAAACACTAAAGATATGCTTATTGAATTAGTGTTAAACAATTTAAAAAAAGCTTTTGGTGTATCCGACAAGTTCTATGACCTAAAGATAAATAGATAGTTCCACATCTCTATCTTCCCCCACTACAAACCATTTTATAATTGTATTAATCACTTGACCCCCTTCCAATGAGAGACAAACTCCTAGTTTATGTCTTAGGTTTAAATTTGCTTCA